ATGACGGAGCCTCTAACGCTCTGATCCCATGGATCCTGATATTGTTATTATTATGATATGTGTAACCGTAATGGTAATCATAATATTTTCTTATGTGTAATGTCATGACATGTCACTAGATGTCATGTCAAGATGTTCTTGGATACACACCACTAATCAACAGCCACACACATTGATTTTCTTCATGTTTTTGACTATTGTTATGGTCAGCTCCAAAGCTGGCATATCAGGTGACGTCACGGTTTGACGTTCCTGGGTAGTATGGGCTAGCCCAACCAAGTGATAATATTGAATAGGCATTATGGTTCAGGGTCTTTCATACTTGGTTCTGCCTGCATGCAGGATCGGAGGTGGAAGAGATCTGGACGTGTAATGTTAATTTTACCTGTGATTCTTTGAATAAACCAGCACGGTTATTTTTTTTATATAATCCAAGTGGTCTGCTTCGTCTCTCTGAGTTCCTGGTTAAAAGAGCCGGAAGAAGCTTACATGAAAATAGCTTTTATAAGCAAGGAAAATAAAGGTATGAAAAATAACTAAAAGAAAATGAAGAACTGAAAAGTAACAATGGTATGAGAGGTAACTAAAGCTTATAAAGTAACTAGAGCCTTTAAGAATCAAATCTTACACCAGACAGAGAAAAATAAAACTGTGATCAATTCAGGACTTAGGGGCTCACCACGAGACCCAGACACACAAAAACATTTTGTATGATTACACAAATTATACTGCAGTTTAAGAAGAAGGTGTTAGAAATTAATAAATTAGTCAGATAATTATTAGACATTGTCTTAGACTTTAATGTATTAGTAATGCAATTAAGTAAGATTCAAAGTCTGCTCTAGTCTGCTCTGTTTCAAGGTTAGCAGTAAGCCATGACACCAGTTGTTTTCTTGTATTAATCTTGTGTTGGAATACCATGTCTGAATAAATAAGTGAATGTCTTAGCTACACATCATGTGACAACATCCACACACATTGAGCTACCTTATTTTGTTATGACTAGGTAACACGCAGCTGCTCCAAGCCTGTGGAGCTCTAGATAAGAAATGGAGTCTGCTGGACGGACTTCATCTGTGTAAGGGGTTAGCCCAAAACTGATAAATGTATTAGGCTCTGTGTTTCCGGGATCCCTCTTTTTTCTGCTCTGAAGGAGGGAGCCCTGGGTTGTGTTCTGTAATCCTTTTACATATATAAACCAGCACTAAAATCAAGAAAGACGGACTCCTCCGTTATTCAGATCTGTCCAATAAAAGAACTGGGGTATAACACTAGGTAGAAATGCAGCTGCTCAAAGCATGTGGAGCACTAGATAAGAGATGGAGTCTTTGGACTGACTTCATCTGGGTAAGGGGTTAGCCCAAAACTTATAAATGTATTAGGGTTTGTGTGGCCAGGGACTCCACTTTCCAGCAGCCTGTGTGTGTGTGTCTCTGGAAGGGGGAGCAACCTGGGTCGTGTTTGTAATTTTTACTTGTGGTTAAACTAAATCAGCACTAAATGAAGAAAGACAGACTCCTTCGTTATTCAGAGCTGTCCAATTAAAGAACTGGGGTATTACATTTCAAATGTTTGCACATGTACAAATGGGGTGAGGGCAGTAGCTGCTGTGTTCTTGGTCTTTTGGGTTTGGCAAAGAAATAATGGACATTTGTCTCAAAGAAGATGTCCTGACCACATATGATTCCTGTTTCTTTTGTGGATGGGTCACTGTGCAGCACAGGTCAACTGATGTTAGCAAACAAGGCTGCAGGTCTTCAATTATTTCCTTGTTATCAGTAGTAGACACATTTATGGTGACATCTTTGGGTGTATCACTGCATGAGGTTGTGCTCAAGACACTTGTAGTTAACTATCAGTTGTTAACAACTCCCTAGTGTGCTGTTTGGGTCACTGGTGAACCGCTTTTTTATCAAAAAAAAAAAAAAAGATACGAGTAATTATTTTTTTCAAGCTCAAAACAACATACAGCATATCTGAACACATTTTCAATGACCACATACTGCACCCCCCTACACATTTACATTACATAGAGGATGGTCGTGGTTCAACTTGACCCAGGGTATAACTGATCACACCTCTATTGACCCTAAAAAAAGAAAGTGCTGTCTTTACAATGTATCAACTCACTGTGCATGGTAAGTGTCATTTTTATTTGTGAAATGCTTTTCTTTACACAGTTATATACATAGTTTTTAAATAGTTTAACATGTTTAATGAAAACATCCAAAGTACAACCAAATTGTACAAATTGATTTTTGATCAGATATTAAACTGTTTATCTTCATCTACTGTCACTTTATGTATTGCAATGCTCTATACTATGGTGTTAAGCAGTCTTGCCTCTCTCGTCTTCAGATGGTTAAAACCGCTGCTACTTGTCTTCTGACAAGTACTAGAAAATTTGAGCATATAACACCAGCACTGGCTTCTTTCCACTGGCTTCCGGTCCATTTTAGAATTGATTTTAAGCTGTTGATTTTTGTTGTTGAGGCTCTTAATCGTTTGGCACCATCCTACCTCACTGAAGTTTTCTAAACTTCATACTTTTAAAATATTTAGCTTTATTTTGAAAATCTTGCCCCATTCAAATGAATGGGAAAATTCTACTTCAGCATTCTTTCACATATTTCAGGTATGAAAATGTTCAGGTCTTTAAGGACATTCATGCTTCTCTTCGGAGGTTTCTAAACTTCATACTCTTGAAATATTTCGCTTTATTTTGAAACTCTTGCTTCATTCAAAGGAACAGGTAAATTCTAATTCAGCATAATTTCAGCTATCAAAATGTTCAGCTCTTCAAGGACATTCATGCTTCTCTTCGGAGGTTTCTAAACTTCATACTCTTGAAATATTTCGCTTTATTTTGAAACTCTTGCTTCATTCAAAGGAACAGGTAAATTCTAATTCAGCATAATTTCAGCTATCAAAATGTTCAGCTCTTCAAGGACATTCATGCTTCTCTTCGGAGGTTTCTAAACTTCATACTCTTGAAATATTTCGCTTTATTTTGAAACTCTTGCTTCATTCAAAGGAACAGGTAAATTCTAATTCAGCATAATTTCAGCTATCAAAATGTTCAGCTCTTCAAGGACATTCATGCTTCTCTTCGGAGGTTTCTAAACTTCATACTCTTGAAATATTTCGCTTTATTTTGAAACTCTTGCTTCATTCAAAGGAACAGGTAAATTCTAATTCAGCATAATTTCAGCTATCAAAATGTTCAGCTCTTCAAGGACATTCATGCTTCTCTTCGGAGGTTTCTAAACTTCATACTCTTGAAATATTTCGCTTTATTTTGAAACTCTTGCTTCATTCAAAGGAACAGGTAAATTCTAATTCAGCATAATTTCAGCTATCAAAATGTTCAGCTCTTCAAGGACATTCATGCTTCTCTTCGGAGGTTTCTAAACTTCATACTCTTGAAATATTTCGCTTTATTTTGAAACTCTTGCTTCATTCAAAGGAACAGGTAAATTCTAATTCAGCATAATTTCAGCTATCAAAATGTTCAGCTCTTCAAGGACATTCATGCTTCTCTTCGGAGGTTTCTAAACTTCATACTCTTGAAATATTTCGCTTTATTTTGAAACTCTTGCTTCATTCAAAGGAACAGGTAAATTCTAATTCAGCATAATTTCAGCTATCAAAATGTTCAGCTCTTCAAGGACATTCATGCTTCTCTTCGGAGGTTTCTAAACTTCATACTCTTGAAATATTTCGCTTTATTTTGAAACTCTTGCTTCATTCAAAGGAACAGGTAAATTCTAATTCAGCATAATTTCAGCTATCAAAATGTTCAGCTCTTCAAGGACATTCATGCTTCTCTTCGGAGGTTTCTAAACTTCATACTCTTGAAATATTTCGCTTTATTTTGAAACTCTTGCTTCATTCAAAGGAACAGGTAAATTCTAATTCAGCATAATTTCAGCTATCAAAATGTTCAGCTCTTCAAGGACATTCATGCTTCTCTTCGGAGGTTTCTAAACTTCATACTCTTGAAATATTTCGCTTTATTTTGAAACTCTTGCCCCATTCAAATGAATGGGAAAATTCTACTTCAGCATAATTTCAGCTATCAAAATGTTCAGCTCCTTAAGGATATTCATGCTTCTCTTCAGAATTTTTCTAAACTTCATACTTTTAAAATATTTAGCTTTATTCTGAAAATCTTACCCCATTCAAATAAATGGGGAAATTCCAACTTCAGTATACTTTCAGCTAGCAAAAGCATTCAGGTGTCAAAATGTTCAGCATTTTCAGGGCAATTTTTCAGAACTCAGCATCCATACGCATTTTTTTCAGAAAATGCAATTTTCTAGTTTCAATATGGGGTCACTAATACACAATAAGATAAGCATTCAGATTTACCGATCATATATTTACCTGTCCTTTGAAAGCCTTTTATTTTTGTTCAAAGCAAAATTTAAGGATAACCACCTTTATTGGCAATGTATGTTACACACAAGGAATTTGTTTCTGGTACAGAACCGATGGCAGCCATCTGCGGTTCCACCTCAACTGATGGCTGCCCAAGTGTCTTGCCCTAGGACATTTTGACACGAGGACTGCCGGTGTTCTGTCGAATCTTCATACCCGTCATTATTCCATACCCAAACTGTCTGCGCATGCGCATTAGGTTCTGCGCATGCGCAGTTATGGACTGACTAACCCCACCCCAATCCATCCCCCTAACCCTAACCACTTTGTGAATGGTGGGTAGCACGTCTTGATAGGTAGCAAAATCTGACAAAACACTGGCACTGAGATTGGAACGTTCAACCTGGTTGGGAAACGACTGCTCTACCCAACGCACCACTGTCACCTCCCCAGTAAGATAGAAAATAGAAATATAAGATAAAAGTTATGACTGTGAAAATTACATAAAATATCCTGACGCGCCTTAGAGACAGACGATGTGTTTTCCATGTATGTTTATTTAATGTTTACATAAATTCTATCCCTTATCTCAACCAAAACTGGGAGGAGGATAACAATTCTATTGGATATGTTGCACCCGCGTTGTGAAACGCACCTGTACGTTTGGCCACGCCCCTCGACCTGTCTTCAGGAGGATTTAGGAATAACGTTTCAAAACCATAGAAGTAGTCGACGCGAGGAAGTGAGAGCTGATTTGTGATATTTGATCTCGGACGAGTTGTGTGAGAGTTACGGATAAACTTAGTTCCGCTTACGGAGGGGACCTACACAGGTACGTGTTTTTAGTAACTTCTGTCAGGTGCTTCCGGGTCCACGGGTAGGCTAAAGCATGGCTGTCAGCCTAGTGAGAGGAATGAGAGATACAACAGAAACCTTTTGTTAAGTGAAACCTTTTCATGAAGTCATTTAAAAGCAGATTATACAAGTTTTATGTATGTATGTGTGTGTATATAT